CGAACCTGTGGGCTCAGGCAATCCTCTCACCTCGGCCTCCCAAAGTGCTAGGATTATAGGTGTGAGCCACCAGGCCTGGCCATTTTTAAAAAATTTTAAAACAAAGTTTATTAGCAAGAGGAGAGAGAGAGGACTTGACTTGGACAAGACTCTCAAAAAGAAAGACCTGCCACCTTTGTGGAACTTTTAAAAAGAGGAGTCACATAATCTGATTGGAATTTTTAAAAAATGACTCTGGCCAGGCACAGTGGCTCACACCTGCAGTCCCTGCATTTTGGGAGGTCAAGACTAGAGGATTTCCTGAGCCCAGGGTTTGAAACCAGCCAGGGCAACTTGGTGAGATGAGACCTCGTCTCTACAATAAATAACAAAATCAGCCATGCAAGATGACTCACATCTGTGGTTCCAGCTACTTGGAAGGCTGAGGCAGAAGGACCACCTGAGCCCAGCAGTTTGAGGCTGCGGAGGCTGTAATCGTGCCACTGCACTCCTGAGACTCCGACTTAAAAAAAAAAAAACAACCCTAGCTCCTAGAGCAAAGGTAGATTGAACAGGAAGGGGACAGGGGGAACCAGAAGAATCAGGGAGACAAGCCAGGTTACGTTAAGATGAATCCAAGGAAGAGACAGTAGTTTGAACCAGGGCCATGGAGTAGGATGGAGAGAAGCGGATACATTCAGTGTGTGTTTTGGACAGTTAAAGGGTTATGTAGGGCACCAACGGAATTAACAGTAGTCGATATCTACCTGGGGGGGGGGGAAATACCTCATCAACAAGGGTACCTACACAATGCATATTTGTATACCTAACCCTTAACTGTACCCCACAATTTTAAAATAAAAAATATGTATTAAGAAAAAGAAAAATTAAAAAATTAAAAAAAAAATCTGCGACGTGAATATAAAATAATCAAGATATGCCTGCACAGGCAAAAAAAAGAAAAGAAAAGAATAAGAACCCTGTTATGTGAATGAAGTATGCAGGCAGAGCAGGTTTCTATGGGGGAGACATGGAGATAGAATTAAGCATTTTATCTAGGTCATGTTGAGTTAGGATGTTAAGCTTGAGATGAAATGATTGCTGTTTAATAACATCTGTTCATCAGACTTGAAAGCAAGGAGGATTAAGAACAGGCAAATAAGGGAGGGAGGTTTCTTGAGGATAGTGATAATGACACTTCAATTCTTTTGAGAATTGATTCTAGGACAAATAGATCTTTCTTCATATAGCCATTTTCCTACCAGCCTTTATTCAAATTCATAGCCTCATTATCCACTTATTGTTTATTTAACAAATACTGAGCTCTTTTTTTTTTTTTATCAAGATACCCAGTGTATCCTTATTTGTAACAGAATATGAGAGAACATTGGGTGATAGAAAACCCAATATTAAAGGGGATAAAGACAGCTATATATGTATGCAAATATAGATAATTATAAAAATTCTGCAAAAGCATGGAAAATGCATAGCAAAAATGCATGTCACAAAGAATAGTAATGTACTAACATATACATATTTAGCATCTATTATAATTTCAATAATCAAAAATGTATGCTTGGCTGATTGCAGTAGCTTGTACTTGTAATCACAGCTACTCAGGAGGCTGAGGCAGGAGGATTGCTTGAGACCAAGAGATCAGGACCAGCCTGAGCAACATAGTGAAACTCCATCTCTCTTTTTTATTTTTAAAGTATGCTTGTAAATGGAAATGTGAAAAAAAGGAAGCAATCATATTGTAATGGGATTGTAAACATTTTGTTATTCTTTTTTTAGTATTGTGAAAGGTAAAATAGTACCTTTCAAATAAACATTTCTTGACAACGTTCGACGTGTTCATTACAGGTTTTTTCACTGAGGTCTTTTTGTGAGCGAGGAACTGTGCGAAACTCTGAGAACTATGATCTCTAAGACACAGCTTAAATCTTTTTTTGTTTAACCTTTAAATTTTTTATTTTAAAATTGTGGGACACAATTCAGGGTTAGGTACACAAATATTCATTGTGCAGGTACCCTTGTTGATGAGTGTGCTTCTTAAATGTTAGCCTTTTTTTCCCCCTGTTATTCAACTTGAGTTCAAAAAAGAAAATTCAGGTATAACAGGCAGTGGCCTTAAAACCAGTCTTTATCCCAAGAGCCATCCACATACTCTGCTGTTTGTCATTTGCTGTCTGTGGTGACTTGTGGTGTTTTAAGACTTTGTATTTAGTTATCAGCAGATCTCACTGGCCGCTGTGCAGTCCTGCGGTCCGTCACACAGCCTCTTCCACGAACACGGCTTGCCCTGAGCGTGGTTCCCAGGCACAGCTGTCTTCCGAGATGTCACTGCTTTTCTATAATGGCACTTCTCAAACTTTTTGGCTCAAGACCCCCTTGTACTTAAAATTATTGAGGACACTGAAGAATTTCTGTTTATGTGGGTTACATCTTTCTATATTTACCACATTTGAAATTCACATTGAGAAATTTTAATAATTTATGTTAAAGTGACAATCATAAACTTATTGCATTTAAGTAGAGCTTTTTATGAAAATAATTATTTTCCGAACAAAAATAGCAGTGTGGCATTTTTTACGTTTTTGTAGATATCTTTAATGTCTGACTTGTTAAGAAACAGCTTGGTTCTCACAGCTGTTGTGATATAACATGTCATGTAGTCACTGGAAAACGCCACTATACATTTGTGAGAGGATGAGAGTGAAAAAGGT